CAACACGAGCATATTCCAAAACAGCCATGGTCCTTGATCAAGCATGCGCTCCCAGTCACCAAGACAGGAGGCTTGAACGATGAACAGATTCGGTCCAACCGGTCGAAACCTAACCGGCTGGGCTGCGTTCCACGCCGCGCGCATCTCCCTGTAGAAAGCAGTTTGGCTGAAAGACTTGTCCGTGTGAACCCTAGCTAGGGCAAGCCACCTGACGCTTTCGTTGATTTCAGGATCATCCTCATCGATAATAAGATCATCGAATTCCTCTTCTTCCAAGTTAAGTTGTTCCAGGAAATCTCCTAGATCCGACTTCATAGCGGCGCTACCCCCGCCGCTCGTTCCTGACTGGGCATCCGCCGCCGATGCCATCGCGATCGGATCATGGGACAAGACAGGCCCAAGCCCTACGACGGGAGAGGTTTTGTAGATGCAACGGACTCGCTGGCGTTTGATTGCCAGGGAGGACGAGTTTGTGTTGGATAGGGACTCGCCGGCGATTAGATCGCTCGGAGGAGAGAAAACCCTAGCCGCGACCCTGAAACCTAAACATGAACCCTAAACCCTAACCCCTTTTTAGCTCTCATTAATAAAGGTGACAAGACCTCCTACGTGACGCCTGTAGGTGGCAAATGGGAGCTGCTATCGCAAATTCAAAAAAGGCCGTGACAAAAAAAAGATGAATTCAAATAATATTTTTTAATTCAAAAAATATCAAAATTTTAAGAAATGTTCATGAATTTTAATGTTTTGCACAAATTCAAGAAATGTTCATGAATTTAAAAAATATTTGCCAATTTTAAAAGTGTATGTAAATTATCAAATATTCACCATCTTAGTTTTTCATAAATTTACAAAAGTATTGATGAATTTGCAAAAATGAAAAGAAAAAGAAGAAAGCAAAATGAAAAGAAAACCGAACTGAAGAACAAACCTAAAAACTACAAAAATTAAGAACTGGTCAAGAAAACCAGAAGAGCCAGATGAGAAACACACAGACACACACAAAAATCAAATAAAAAAAACCATTTGAAAGCTTCCCAGAACCGGAGGTGGAAGCTTCCCGGTCAGGTGAGGGGGCGCTTCCCCACTAACGGGCAGCCCACTAGAGGCGGTGCGTGGGCGACGCGTGTGATACGTAGTGATGGACGAAATCATCACTTGAGGAGTACTCGTTGCAAAGATTACTCCAACTTCTCAGGCTGCGACAAGTGACGCACATGCAGCGCGCCACTTGTCGCAATCTGTGAGTTTTCTTTTTTTTCATAGATTTGTTTATTTAAAACATTTTATCTCTTAAACCATGCGTTCAAATCTTAAATCGTTTTCACTATTGGATTTTTCGCATCGAGATCTTCAAAACTAGATCTCATATTGATAAGTTTAGACGAACTTTTTTTTCACGAAAAAACCAAATGAAAAAACCGAACCGGGAGCACGGGGTTTTTTCCTTTCCGAGAAAGGCACGCCCGTTCCTCTCACGAAATTACAACCGTGCCTTTCGCGAAAAGACAAAAAACGTGTTTTTCTCCGCTTCCGAGGAGGCACGGCCGCGACTCTCGCGGAAGCACAACCATGCCTCTCGCGGAAGCAAAACCATGACTCACGCGAAAGAACAAAAGTAGAAAACGTGTTTTTTCGTTTTCGAGAGGCACGGCCGTGATTCTCGCGAAAGCGCAACCGTGCCTCTCGCGGAAGCACAACCGTGCCTATCGCGCAAGCAAAACCGTGACTCACGTGAAAAAAAAATAGAACACGTGTTCTTTTCGTTTTCCGGAGGCATGACCATGACTCTCGCGAAAGCGGAATCGTGTCTCTCGCGGAAGCAAAACCGTGACTCTCGCGAAAAAAAAATAGAAAAAGCATTTTTTCCGTTTCCGAGAGGCACGGCCGTGACTCTCGCGAAAGCACAACCGTGCCTGCCGCGGAAGCAAAACCGTGACTCTCGCGAAAAAAAACAGTAAACACGTTTTTTTTCGTTTCCGAAAGGCACGGCCGTGATTCTCGCTAAAGCACAACTGTGTCTCTCGCGGAAGCAAAACCGTGACTCGCGAAAAAAAACAGTAAACACGTTTTTTTTCGTTTCCGAGAGGCGCATCCGTGACTCTCGCGAAAGCAAACCCGTGCCTCCCGCGGAAGCAAAATCATGACTCTCGCGAAAGAAAAAAAAGAAAATATGTTTTTTCGCGCCAATTATTTTTATTTTTTTATCGAAAAGTTAAGGAAGACCGGTAAAAAATCAAAACGTCAAAAAAACCCAAAAAACCATTTAAAAAGCTGAAAACACGTGCAGAAAAATAAAAAACAAAATTCGGAGGAAGCGTCCAGAACGCGACACGTGGAGAATGGCTGAGAGCGCGCCAAGTAACACTGATAATTGCGAGGCTCCCGAATAAGCGCTCGTTAATTAGTTGCTCTCCGTGATGGAAGGAACTCTCGTTTGAAGGATTTTTCCCCTACCGTAGCTACTAGGTCGACCCAGTTCGTTGTTTTTTTTTCGCCCGCAGGCTCAGGAGATGACACTCGCTCGCTCGCTGTAAGTTTTGTCGGTTTTTTCTTCTTATGTCTGTCTATTGGTTGGACCGGTCCGTTTTAATTGATATTTTTTCTATCCTTTTTTGTGTTTCTCTTCGCCGTTTCCTTTGGTATTTTACGGTTTTTTTCATTCTTTCTATCTTCATTTTTCTTTGTTTTCTTCCTGGATTTTTTCACATCTTTCTTGGTTTTCACCGTTTACATTCTTTTACATCTGTTTTTCTTTGTTTTTTCTTCCCGTTTTCATTGGTTGCTTTGTTTTCCTTTCTTTCCCTGCTGATTTCCACTCAATTGCATTGCTTTTCTTTGGATTTACACATTTTTTTTGGTTTTCATTGTTTCTTTCTTAGTTTTCTTTGTTTCTATCTTAGATTTCTCCCTTTTTCTTTGTTTATTTGTCGAGTTAAAATGACTTTTTTCTTTCTCTTGTTGTCTAGAGTTGGATTTTTTTAACACATGTCTACTTACTTCATCACGCAATATACATTTTTCGTGTACACATGAGTCATTTTTTAAAAACATGTTGAACAGTTTTAATACACAATGTACATTTTTCTTGTCATATATAGTATTATGACTTTTTTGTACATGGTCTATATTTTTTAAATAAACATTGAACAATTTTAGTGACATTAAACATTTATGCAGACTTTTGGGGGTGAGAGCGACTACACTACATAATTGGAACTTGCCTTCACATAAATAGTTTTTTACTTTCTATAATGATTTTAAAAAAATAACAGACATTTTAAGAAACACATGAATATTTATTTAAAATGCACATTCGTTTTTTAATGTCATTAAACATATTTTTACCTATGCAGTCTTTTGTTTACAATGTATAAACATTTTCCATGCCCATGTTGATTTTTTCTAAATACATGATTAACATCATATTTAGAGATATATTTTGATGTCAACTTCTTTCAAACATATTCCACATTTTACGTATACACCAGGACATTCTTTATATGCATGTTTAACATTTTTGAAAACTTATATATTTTTTGATGTCTGCCCTTTCCCATACATATTGTAAGTTTTTTTGTATACATCAGAAATATTTTTCATATACATGTTTAAATTTTTTCAACTAAATGATTAACAAATTTCAAACATATTTTTTGATGTCTACTATTTTTTCATACACATTTTACATTTTTTTGTATACATCGGGAACATTTTTCATATACATGTTTGGTATTTTTGAAATACAAATTAACATTTCCCAATATATTTATTGATGTTTATCTTTTCATACGCATTATACAATCATCATACACATTGCAAGCATATTTCTGTAAGCATTACTAAGATTGTTCACATACGTGATTAACATTTTTAAGTTTATATTTAAACTGATTTTTATAACCAATGTAATTAGAATATTTCAAAATACAAGAAAAAATAAAGCAAAAAATGAAACTTAAAATGTAAACAAATGGATGAAAAAAGGAGCGCTGAAGGCCTATGGTCCAAAATGGACCAGCCCATTTTGTGGCTGCTTGAAGTGAGATGTACCTATTGTCTCGCGTGAAGCGAGACATAATCGCACCCGTGATACTCATCGCAGCAGGAGATACATAATTGATTGTTGGACATTTTAAACTGATCTAAATAAAAACCTTTTTTGAGAAATACTTATAAATGACTAAATAAAGTGTGCATTAGAAAAAAAACACTGCATACAAAAAATATTTCGTCATATACGACAAAAATATTAATTGTGTATTTGAAAAATGTTCACCGTATATTAGGAAAAATGTTCATCATGTATTACAAAAATTATAAAAGGCAGAAAAAAATAAAATTGTAAAGGAGAAAAAAACTAAACAGAAAAAGCACACAAGTTTTCTTTACTGAAAAAACCCAACATCCACCGAACGAACAAAAAAATGCTAGGGAATAAATGACACCGAATGTCTCAGTGTGACCGATCCACGCCAAGGTCTAGAGCCGCTACCACGCCACCGGCAGTTGTCCACACCCAACCGCGAACGCATGCTGCCAAGCCATGCGCGAGGTCAGTGTCACCACCCGTCCAAGTCATCCTGTGCCGGATAGCCAAGAGCGAAGGAGAGGAACACCAGTCGTCGACCACCACGAGGGGCTTTGCCCTGGGGGTGGAGGAGAGAGGGGGGCAATGGCGCCGTGTGTGGTCTGCGGGGGATGACATAGGGGGCAGTTTTTTCTCCGGGTCAGGTTAGGGCACAAAGAAAACTACTTCACAGCCGACCCTCCAAGTCACCATAAAAGAAACAAGGGCCTGTCTAGGCACATCTGACTCAATCGAAGTAGAAAAAAAAAAGACAAAAGAAATGCTTACACGAATCTTAGCGTAAAATCAAGACATAAATCATAATAATAACCGAGCGAATATAGTTTGAAGTACATCACACAAGCCGCTCAACAAACCAGAAATTTTCCTCCTAAGAAGACCTAGAAAATTTCCCTCTCATCAATCCTGCCTAGTGCGCGGACATCGATCCAGCGACGAACGGCCCGCCGCCGTCCATGTGCTCGAAGAAGTCGATCATGTCCCCGTCCTCCATCTCGAGGTCCGCCGGGGTCTTGTCGCCGCGCAACCGCACGCCCTCGAAGAGGAAGACGCCGGTGCCGTAGGTCACGTCGGGCACCTTGCGGTACCACGCGTCCAGGAGGACCTGGAGCTTGTCCGCCCTGCTCATGGTGTGGCGGAGCACCTTCTCCTGGCTCACCACCTTGATCGTCACCATCAGGGGCTTCACCGCCGCCTTGGAGTCCCTCCCGCTGCAGGGCGGCGGCATGGCTTCCGCCGTGTGATTTTTGCGTGAGATCCGTGGAGTTCGGTTGCGTGGAACGGATGCCACGAGGTGGCCTGGCTTTATAAAAGTTAGCTTTGATTTGCTTCCTAACAACCGTTTCCTAATCTCAACTCCGACCAATGCGCCCAAGGGAAATCCCTTATTTGTGGGAAATAAAGTGGTTTGTTTCCAACAAATAAATGTAGTGGCAAACCCATTAGTTTCCCTGGCTAGCAGTGGCCTGCATGCAACGATCGACTAGGCAAAGTGCCTATCCTAAATATAAGCTTTTTTTTGCATGGTAAATATAAGCTATTTTAGAGATTCTAAGGGCATGTACAATGGTTCTATCTTAAGAGTGCCACGTAAGATAAATGATGAGGTAGAGGAGAGAGAAATCATAAGAGAAGGCTTGTCTTATCTTATTTAAGAGAAGACAAGAGATGATCTCTTAGCACAATTTGTCTCACTATGTTTTTAGGAACAACTAATTATTGAAGATAACGCTAAGAGATGACCCATTGTAGACATGTTTTTTTGTCATCTCTAATTTACATGCAAAACTTAAGATAAGACTATCTTATCAACCATTGTACATGCCCTAATACGGACTACGTAAGGAATAAAACGAGTGAAATACGTCTATATACATCCGTATGTACTTTGTATTGAAATCTCTAAAAGGTCTTATATTTAGGAACAGAGGGTGTACACAACACTGCCTTGCTGACTACTAAACAACCAGAATCAAAGATAGTATATACATAGAGAAGTGTCCGACTTTTAGCGCGCTCGTATACCAAAACATAGTCCTTTTGAGGCGTTGTCTCCTGGAAAATGGGGATATTGTCTCATCGAGTATCCGATCTGACCTTTGCCTTTTGCATCAGAAGGCTTTCTATTTCCCGGCAAAACTCAAATCAGACCAAAGTCTCGACTATGAATTGAGAAGTGGTGACACCATCCATGCAATTATGTACAGCCAACACTATCCCAAGAAAGCACCTATATGTTTTCCCCCAATGATGGTACAAAATGACTCCATTTTGAAGCAGTCAGGCATGCTACAACGGCAACGTCAGATGGCACCGATGCAGCCCTGGCAGCAGAACCAGGCCACCAGGATGCCCAGGAACGCGCCGGCGAAGACCTGCGACGGGGTGTGCCCTAGCAGCTCCTTGAGCTTCCTTTCGCTGATGGGGTGGCCTTGGAACAGGTCCTCAACGATCTTATTGAGCACCTGCATCATCATCAGTCATAGAGCATACATTTCAGGTATGTAATAATAGGCAAACAACAGACGCTCATCGGCGGGAAAAGATGTAACCACGATCTTTGAAGGATGGGAGGTGCCAACGCAATGCAAGTTAGTCACTATGCTTGTATGTATCCAAAACCAAATTGAGAGACTTAGAGCGTGTTTCGTTGATACCCTGCAGTGCCAATTCAGTGTCATGAACTCGGAATGCGATAACCTACTCAGGTACCCAGGCAGCAGGGTTGCTCAAAGTTTTCGTGGTTTAATTGAGTTAGTTTATAAAAAACTGACTGACCCGAGCCCTATGTTATTGCAAGGTGAAGTGTTGTGTATCAGCAGAGCAATGGAATGGCACTATGGCAAAAGTTCAAATTTGAGCTGCTAGCTAGTCACTACAGATTTATGGAACTGTAAGTTACGAACAGCGTGTCGTAGCAATTACGACCCCTGAACATAAACCAACAAGCAAACTTATAAACTTGTGACCTGATCCATTATGGGTGCTAAAGTCTAAAGAACAGCATGTTTAGTCTTGTACACCAAAAGAGACGAGCCATGCATGAAACCTTTCAGAATTCGAGTCAAGGCATCAAACAACTGACTGACTTCTGCAATTTGGCTAACTTGACAGGATGTCCAATCCGAGACCCTGAGACTGATCTTATCTAGCTATATATAAATAGATATGCAGTGCAATTGCACCGTAGTTAGTAAAAAAAACTACAACCACATGTATACAGCCAGCATAGTTTCACAAAGATGGCAAATCATGGTCCGCATTCTGAATCCAGTTTCAAACTTTCAATTGTACTACACATATGAACAATCAGTTCTCATTTTTCAAAGGAGGGTGGTTAGACCTGTCTCACAATGAAAACACACAAGCAATCCGAATAAAATGAAAACTAGTCCTGGTTGTTACCCCACCAAACAATGGGATGAGAACTTGCTCAAATCTTAAGTACATTCAGAAAAATTTGATCACACTAAATCAACTAAAGCAGAGTAACAAGAACAAGAGTACAAGCCCAGTAACAGATTAGTGTCAATCTAGATCCTCAAAGGCTCAAACTGTGCACGCATTCACGCAATGTAACAACTGGTAGAACCCCCAAAAATCCTAGTGAATCTAGCATGAAACGGCATGTAGCACCATTATGGACTGAACATTTGACAGTTTGAAACTCATGGATGGCATGGATGCAGAAGAGTGAGCTGAGCTCAAACTCATCCATCAATCGACAGAACTGGAAAACATTCTACTCCCCAAACAACAATGAGCTCAAATTCATCCATCCTCTGAACTCTGCTTCACTTTATACAGTGAGCTCTGCTCATCTAACACGAGTACACAACATTTGCCAGAATAAAACGTACCGTGCAACTAGATACTTAGATCACAGAATGGATAGAAGCAAGCAGCATGAGCTCACCTCGGCCTGCATCCCGGCGTGGCGCCGGACGCCGGTGGCGTCGTACATGACGATGAGGCTGAAGCCGAGGCAGACGGGGAAGAGCGCGTCGCCGACGCCGTGGCAGAGCGCGACGGAGGCGGTGAGCGCGGTGCAGAGCGCGGAGTGCGAGGAGGGCATGCCCCCGGAGCTGCACAGCGTCCGCAGGCTCCACCGCCGCTCCACCACGGAGGTGAGCAGGGCCTTGGCGGCCTGCGCCACCGCGAACGCCACCATCCCCGACACGAACGTCGGGTTCGCCGCCAGCGCCAGCAGGTACGGGCTCTCCCGCGCCTTGGTCACCGCCGCCGCCGTCGTGCTCATCAGCAGCGTCCCTATCCCCGCCCCGCCTCCGCCCGCCGCGGCCAGGCCGGGCAGCTCCCCCCGCGCGCGCCCTCCCCTCAGCGCGGCGGCCAGGATCCGGGAGAGCGACGGCGGCGAGGACGAGGGCGACGGCGCGGCGGCATCGGCGGGCGCGGAGGCTAGCGTCTGGAGACAACGGCGGCGGCCGTGGCGGTGGCGGCGCGGGGGATTCGGCGGCCTGGAGACGTGGTCGAGGAGGCTGGGGAAGGCGCTAGAGAAGCGGCTGGAGCTGAGCACCTCCATGGCTGCTGCTCCGCATCACCGCCGGAGGACCCCGCGAGTGAGCGCGAACGGAGGAGCTGGTGTGGCCGTGGCGATTGCGTGGGGGCTCGGCACTGACAGACACCTCACTGGACGGAAGTCCGAAATGCCCCTGAAGTTTCTGGAGTCTACGCGGCGCGCGGCGGCGGGCAGTCTCGGGATTTCCATGGAGCACGCCGGAGCTCCAGTCGTCCAGTGGGCATCTTACCGCGAAGATTCTGGGACGAGGTCGCCGTCTTGAAACCGGCGCAGCCAATCCGACAGAGCCGCGTGCACAAGTTGCCAGAGCAAGGCGGGTCGTGGGACCTCCTTGTCGGAGAAGGTCCCGCTTTGCAACGTGGGAGCTCGTGGGTTTAGGGCTCCTTTGATTCAGAGGGTTTAGGAAGCGTAGAATAGAAAACGTACAGGAATATGATGCACTGTCCACTGAAATCCTACGTCAGTAAATTAGAGGATTTTTTCCATGAAGTCCAATCTCATGCTTGTTTTCCTGTTTAAATGAACTAAGAAGTTCCTATAGATTTGGTTCCTGAGAAATGCAATCCTATGAATCAAACAACATGTAAGTGTGAAAAGTGTAGGATGATAATATTTAACTCTATCTTAAATGTAAATATACTTCTAACATTTCCCCTTAGTTGTAGCGGGAGTGAAGCGGACGATTACGACTGAATTTAAAGACTTGTGCTCCTGTCGTCTTCTCCGTTGCGCCATCATCAACTGCGTCTCTGATGGGTTGGTACCTAGGGCGGTGACTACGTCCCCTTCTGGTGCCTACCTTGTCTATCCTCTATTCCCTCCTGCAGTCACAGCGGGAGTGGCGTGGACGCTAGTGGCGACGCGGACGGTGTTGACTGGTGTTGTTGCTGATGAGTAGTTGTAGACGTAGCCATGTATGTCGGTGTCGAGGTAGCCGGTCATGGTGATGTAGCTGTGGTCGAGGTAGTCGTGGTCGATGATGTGGTCGTCGTGGATGATGAAGCCGCACAAAGCCGAAGGCGCAAAAAAATGCGCTATGACGGAGCTGCAGACGTGGATGATGCACCTTGCGGATGTGAGAGGGTGCCGTCGGCGATGAGTCCATCGATTTTGCCAAGACCGGAGGAAGCCCATGGAGCACACATCGGTTTTGCCAGAACCGCGTGGCCGTGTAGGGTCGTCACTGTAGTGACGCCGTGTCGATGCAGTCGTGCCGTCGTGGATGACACAGTCGATGCCGTCGTCGTGACGCGGTCATTGCAGTCGTTGTGACGCGGTCATTGCCGTCGTCGAGGTCACATCTTACAGAAAAGTCTGCCAGAGGACGTTAGGTGTTCATCCTGTGGACGAGGCGGCGACGGTGTGTTGACAAAGATGTTGCTGAAGACCACGGTGATGAAGACCTTGGTGATGTGGTATCAACGATGGCGTCGCAGTAGCGTGTCGGCGATGATGCCCTGTCATGCCGAATAAGTATGTTGCTCGTAACATGGTGTAGTCGTACAACTCAGTGCAGGGATTCAGCTCAATGAAGAATATCTGGTGCAGATCAGTCGGTTAGTCGTCCGGCTTGATGATGTGCTGGAGTCGCGCTCCACACTGTCGCCTGGATCGAAGCCGCCTGGAGTCGCTCGTCAGTGTTGGAGTTAAAATCTCCCGTACGCGCGGACTGCATGGCCTCAGATGGAGGCTGTACATGCATGCCTGTATGCTGGGACGTGGACGTAGTTCGCCATGCATGGGACGTGGATGGACCCGCAGATTCGTCGATGATGGAGGCGCGTGTGCAGTGGCCGATGCAGGTGCGCACAGGTTTCTCCGTCCAGCGCTCCAGCGATGCGAATTTGCCGGCCGGCCAGGGGTGCTCGGAGTATCGCACGGGATCCGGCAGTGTAGATGGATGATTTTAACGCCGTTTTGTGCAGAGAATAATTCTTTCACCGGATCTGAGGGTGGTCGAGATTTATTCGTGACTAAAGAAAAATTGATCTAAAAGAATTTCTGAAATTGATCTAATATAAGAAACCGATCTAGTCATTGATCCATCGGGTGCCGTGCCCCCGGGAGAGAAGATTAATCTCCCCGAGGGATAGAGACTTAGGATCGGCGTCCTAAGTCTTTATCTCTTAACTCTCCGTTAGCTTAGCACTTATTGTTGTGGTGGAATAATTTAGGATCGGTGTCGTGAAACTAACCGCTCTAATATCATGTGAAAGTATAGGATGATAATATTGTTGTGTTGTTGTATTGATCTGACACTTGTGGGGGTATATATAGAGGTACAACAGAGGGATAGAGACTTAGAGTAGAGGACAAGTTAAACCTATCCTATCTTTATCTTTTAACTCTATCTTAAATGTAAATATACTTCTAACAGTAAGGGCCTGTTCGGAACGCAAGTAAGAAAAACATTGGAATAGTGTAAAACGTAGGAATGGGAAAGGAAAACATGTGTAAAACATAGGTTTGCAAAGCGTAGGGAAACTTTCGGCTGCTACTGTTCGGGACACAGGAAATTAACATACAAATTAAAATGCACTTATTAACTGGTTGAATAAAATTGATGGCATCTAGCCCAGCACGCCCATTTGCGAACATTGCCCGGATGGACACAGCTCACATGCACCATTTGTTTTATTTTCACTTGTCCTTTCCGTGGTCCATCTAGACTCAGTCCATCCACATACGCAGATTCTGTCTGACAGGAAGACAGCGAGTTCAGTGTTGCAGCGTTGCCTAATCAGAGGAGGTGGTGGCCTTTCCTTTGGTTTACTGTTCAGGCTTTCCTATATACCGAACGCTGCTACAGAGCAAAAAACTACAGGAACTCAAATCCTCCACTTTTCTCATGAATTTCCTTTAAACCGAACAGGGCCTAAAGGAAAAATTCTAGAGGGCGTCGATCCTGTAAAATTCCTATGCAAATCCTGTAAATCAAAGAAGGCTTTAGTCGTTTGAGGAAACTATGCAAATAATTCATCAGCATTTAGAGCATCCATATATCTACGGCCAGACCTAGCTAATTCGGCTTTAAAATGTTTGGGACCTAGCTAATTCGGCCCCTACACGTCTGTAGACGTGCATTAACTCATCCTAAGACAGTGACCGATCGCCCCTAATCTGTCCGCATTCACAGTCTGATATATCGTCAGCAAATTCTCAAATCCATAGTCATATCCAATGTAAACTTACGATTCATTTGGTTACATGCGCATATGGGCCTGCCTGAGGTAATGCATGCAAAAAATAATAATCATGTTTTGTACATTGTTTGATTGCCTATATATTGCCTCCCTTGCATCAGGGCAACAAGTTATGCGTTGTTTTTGGTTGCCTACGTATGAATGTTCTCATGCAAAGCACGTTGTTTGGTTGCACAGATAGAGTGGTTCTAATAACCTTGCAGAGTGGCGGACCCAGAAATAAAATGCAGGATGTGCACACTTCAAAAAATCAACATATGTTTTCATTGGCTTGAATGGGCCTTAAAAATCAACTAATTATTACATGGTAAAAGAACATTTTTCAAAATTCTGGGTGTGCCATGGCACACCTGGCACACCCCTAGGTATGCCACAACTTGCACCCTACTTGGTGAACCTATCATCTACCATCCTACCAAGTGCTCACTCTATTATATACGATCACATCGATGAATGAGTAAAATAGCACTAGAATCACTGCGAACTGGACGACGATGATGAAGTTCTTTAACCACAGAGCTTACTCTTTTGTCTTAAACCACCGAAGGCAACAACCTTGGGAACTTGTTCATTTTTTTACATACATGTTTCATGTTTTTCAAATACAAATTAACATTTTACAAATATTTTTATTCATGTCTATTTTTTTCATACCCATTGTACAATTATTGTCTACTACATTACAAACATTTTTGTATACACGTCTAACATTTTTTTAATACGTAATGAATATTTTTAAAATTTGTATATAAAATTATTTTTGTAATAAGTATAGTTAGAATATTTCAAATACAAGCAAAAGAAAAAATAAAGCAAAAATGCGAAAAAGTGGATGAAAAAAGGAGTGTTGAAGTCGTATGTTCCGCGCTGGACCGGCCAATTCTGATGGCTGCTTGAGGTGAGACATAGTATTGTCTCGCGTTAAGCGTGACATAGTCGTACCAGTGATACTATGTGGCGGGCCGCAAATAAGGGTGGCGACGCACTGAGAGAATGACCCGGCCCATACCGATGTGAACATGAATCGAACTTTCATCATTCTGAGGCAGGTCCATCGTTGCCATCATTTCGTCGGCAGTTTACGTAGATACTACTCCCTCCGTTTTAAAATAGATAACCCAATTTTATACTAACTATTAAAATTAATATAAAATTAGGTAAGTTAGTATAAAATTAAGTCATCTATATTAACTTTAATAGTTAGTATAAAATTGGCTCATCTATTTTAGAACGGTGGTAGTAGTACCTTCGGCAAAAAGTGGACTTCAGAGCATTTTCTGAACCATCCTGCTTCAGGTTTTCTATTTTCTGAACCTCTAACTTTGGCAAGGACCT